CTCCCCTCCCCTCCCCTCGTCTCCTCTCCCCTCCTTAGCGCAGCAGCAACTGTGGAGAAGGGAGGCAGCCAGCACACCCAGCACCCTCCTGCTCCCACTCCCAAATTCCTAATTTGCCCAGCAGACCAGTGTGGTCCCAGGCCAGATACGAGCAGACCCGCCACGACAGACAAGCCCGGGCTCTGATGGAGGATGGAGACAAGCAGACGGGGAGAAGACACACGGGCCCTCTGGAAGGGGGCTCAGACCAGCTGCAGTGCCAGGTGACAAAGAGGACTTTAAGAGGGGTGGGCAGACTCCCCCAACCTCCCCCCCAATAAGATCTAGGGCAGAGAGCAGGAGATCAGCAACCTTCATCCAAGCACTGACCCCCACCCGTGATGGGGAAGGAGGCCCCTGGTCTGCTCTGGGGCAGCTCCCCCAAAACCGGGTGTCCTTGGGATGTTTAGGATTCAGTTCCCAGAACCCCCTGGCCAGCGCGGCCATTGCTGAATCCTGGGGGCTGAAGTCCCCACGTCGGAAGGCAGCTCTGGGGGCGCGAGTCCCACTTCAGATTCCGAGGGTCACATCCTGCTTTCTCCGGCGGCCTTGAACATCTCTGAGGAGCCCAGCTAGTGCAATGGGGCAGAGGTGGGCAATGCAGGGCCAGATCCAGAGGAGGCTGTGGGGAGACCCCTGTTCAGAGACCCTTCCTGACGAGGAGGGGCGTCCAACCCATCCGATGAGCCCCTGGCTAGGGAAAAGTGTGCGGGATGCCGGGGGGCTCGGCCACACAGCCCCTCATTCCTCAGCATCTGTTTTCTGGGTGGAAAATCCCCCTGGAGCCGTCCTGGACAGGCGGCTGAGGGGGGACTGAACAGCCCCTGGGAAGAAGAATGTGCATTTTTGTTCTCCTTATCTCTTATCTTACCCCTCAGGCTAATACAGCAACAGGATCCTAACCCAGGAGCTCTGGAGCTGCGAGGGCATCTGGTCGTGCGCAGCCGACGGCTGGCTCGTCTCAAAGCAAAAAGCCCGAGCGTGCCTCACGGCAGCTCTGCAAGAAGATGCAGCAATGCTGTTCGTGCAGCTCCAGGTACCTTCCCTAAAGCCCTGGGGGGTGGGGGGGCTACATGCTGAAGGAGTGGCGCAAGCGGTGTTAAGGCAGACTGGAAGGAGGAATGACCTCCAGCACGGGAGGAAGACCGAGAAGAAGGCCGAGGGTGGAGGAAGGCGAAGAAAGGCTGTTAGTCTCTTGTTCTCCTAAAACCAGATGGATGGAGCTGAGTGTGGGAAAACTGGGGAAGGAAAAAGGGACAGACTTCTTCACACCAGGCCGATGGCAGTGGTGGGGCGCACCCCCAGAAGGGGTCGTGATGCCACCACCACCAACAGCTTTAAAGAGGAATTAGAGTCCTTCGGGGAGATCAGGTTAGTACCGGAAGCCCTCTGACGGGAGCACGCATGGGGAGAGAGCCGTGCTGCGGTGCTCGCCTGCCGACTTCATGCAGGGACCCGGTAAGCGGGGGGGGGGTCGCCCTGGGGGGGCAGGCTTTCCACCCTGATCCAGCAAGGCAGCCTACCAGGGGTGTCCGCAGGGCATGGTCCAAAAAGTCAAGGTGCAGTCGGAACTCCGGCTGTTTTTTCGGCGCCTGCCCGCTGGAACGAGGCGCCCCCCAAGCCCCAGCTGCCCCTGCAGGGCTGGCTCTTCGCCCCGGCCTTTGGCGAGGGTGGGGCGGGCCTCCTTGCTCTGCCATCTTTTGTTCCTGCCTTATGGTTCTCCCGCCTTGCTGCGCTTTCACTTTGCGAACCGCCCAAAGTCGCTGGGCAGAGGGCAGATTTAAGAAAGAAGCCAATAAATCCAGTGCCCAGCTGGAGTTTCCCTCTCGGCATGTTGGACCAGACCCGGCACCCCGCAGCCCAAGCGGCCGCGCTCCAGGCCCGCTTCCCGGCCCCCTCGGTTGGCAGGGACCAGCCGCCG